AGCGACCGCGACTCAAAAGTAGCCGCAAAAGAATCAGAACTAAATAAACATATAAATAAAATGCTGCCCGCTCCCCACCTGAAATCGTGAGGCGCGCGGGAGCTGAGCAGCGCGGCGCTGCCGCTGCGCGTGCTGCACGCTGGCACTTGCGCAGGTCTTGCCCGTGAGGAAACTGCTGCCACCTCGCAGCTATCAGGCAGTAGTTCCTGAAATTATTTTCAACTCCACCCCCCCAAAAACAAACAAACAAACAAGCAAAAGTTATCTTTTCCCTCAGCTTAGTTGCTGTTCTTGTCTCTTCCTAGCAAAGCCTGCACTTGCTTCACGGCCCTGGTCTTGCCTCGGGCCGTGGCGGGTCTGGGCCCTCTCGGCCTTTGAGACCGGAGCTCGTCTGCACCCAGCGGCTGTGGATCCCCGGCCGTGGTCCGGGGGCAACACCACACTCTGACCGCTTATGGAAGAGCTCAGTTACACTATTTCAGCTACAGGGGCCTGCAAACCGAGCTGGGGTCTGCACGGAGAAACACTAACTCGTTTTTATTTCTTTATTTCTTTATTTCTCTCTCTTCAGACCAAAGAAAATATCAGTAAAAATCTAGTTTTTGGTGAGGAGACGGCATGCACTTTATATTCGTGGAAAAGTGTCATGCTTGCTTCCATATAAACAATCCATTCCTATAAAAAGGCTATCAGGTATTTATTTCCTTTGCTGATATTTTCTGGGCAGTTCCATATTGATTTTTCTTTAATCATTAAACATATTTGTAGGTGTACAGAAGTGTTCGTTTCTCATGTTTCAAAGATACTGACAGATCAGTGAGTTCCTGTAATGAAGTATTAGCACTTTCTAGTATCAGGATTTCTGCTCCCCTTTTCCCCCTCCCCCCAAAAAGTGGAGCATGTTAGAGTTAATGAAATTTACAAGATAATCATAGCCAAGGGAATTGTTTCCACCACTTCCGAAGGGCACGAGTTACTGGATACAAGCTTTAACAGTTACTTCCTCATGTTTTGCGTCTGTTTTGCCGTCCCTTGGGCAAATGCTGTCCCTGCTGCAGCTCTTTGGTATCCCTTGGCACTGCTGAAGACAACAGGCGGGCAGCAAGGAGCCCAGCCGCAGAGCAAGGTCAGGTCCCGCGCTGTCCGTCTGGGCAGAGCTGGCACCTTCTCGCAAACAAACCGCAGCAGGCACCACAGACTGCTCCTCAGCGCTGTGCTGCGCGCGCCAGGCCGACAGCGAGGGCTCCAAAACCAAGGCAAGCTGCCTGAAGGGTAAGAGAAGGACCAACAAGAGAAGAACATGTTTTGGGATAGGAATTAGTAGTTTCACAATGCTGGATTCTACTAGAAGGTCTCTCCCCCTCCGCACCCCCCACTTAAGGAAGACTATTGCAAACTATTGCAAACAAAGGCAAAGCTCTCTCTCTGAATGTCACTGGATTCAGTTACAGGATCAGATATAAGCAAATTTAGGGTTATGCTGTTTATTTCTATTCCCTATATATTTCTTAAGTGGGCAGCTCAGACAGCTCAAGTTTTGCACACTGATAGTCCACATGCCGATGACCTAATTCTTCGTATTTTGCTCCCTGTGGTGAGTTCCATCTGTTCAGATCTAGAGAAATATACCAATACATCACTTTAATACCACAGGGAGTTGATTACTTGTACCCATGCCTTTTGTGTGCGTTTTATTTTTACTTGACAAGCATTCCCTTACCAGCTTAGAGATGTCTTTGAATGCACTTAAATCCTCAAAGAGCCACTACTGATGCAAACTAAAGAGAAAGCAAATTGGTGCATGAACCATACACATCTTTACAAGTCTCCTGTTCTCTTGGATGCTTGAATTTTTACACCATTTTGTCCATAAGGGAAACTGTCCTTAACATTGCTTAGCTGTAGTCATCGTTCTCTCTCAGGGAAAGCATATATTGATAAAATTAGTAAATGGACATGCTTCAGAGGTGGATTTACCTCTAGGCTCCATAATCTACAGTGGATTTCCTTTAGAAGTATTAAAGTTTTCACTTATAAATGACCTTTCTTTTCCAAGAGGACTGTACACAGAGGATATTTCCTTCTCTGAAACATTTAGTACAGACACTCTGTTTTTGGACAAAATGGTCACATTAAGTGACACATGGTTACTTAAGTTTTTCATCTTATGGATTCCTGCTAAGGATAAATAATTAAGGAAAACAGACCAGTTTCTATATTTATCTTAACACGATTGCCTGTACCAAAAATCCTGAAACGCTGTAGCCAAGCAGTGCCTGCTGAGTAAATGCCTTTAATATTGTAGTTTAAAGATTCAAGACAGATCCTGTGTGGTTCAGTGGGCTGGTCCATCTCTTAAGGACTTTCTCTTGAAGGTACAGAAATACCAGAACAGTACATCTTGTACGAGTCACAAACAGGCTGATACACCTCAGAGTCTTGGGAACAAAATATTTTATTTGCCAACAAAACTATAGTTTACAGTAGTATTTACTAAATAAATTATATAATTTCTCTTTTACAAGCAATAAACTATAAATCAAAAAATATTTCATAGACTATATACACCACATAAGGCCCTGTTATAAATAACAACTTTCTCTTCACCAACAGTGAAAACAGCTTCAGAGGCTCATTTCATATAGTATGTGCAGAGACTCACCTCAACCCTTGCATGTAATTGATTCCAGTTTCCACCCACATGAACTTAAATGATTAGAACTGAAGGGTGAAAACAAGTTAAGTTAATTTTACTCACCACTGTGCTGATTTTTAAACAGGTAAAGCAGGCACTATACTTTGCTTGTGCATAGTTACAGAATGCATGCGGATGAAGCCACCGATGATAGGTCGATAAGAAAATACCACTTTTGAGTCCAAGAAAGGTGGTTGGCAGGACACGAGGAAACAGCTCTGACAGACAGTTCTTCACAGTTCAGCCAGCGGCAGCACAAGCAGTGTAGACTGGGTCACGTCACATCTGCCAAGTCCATCAATCTTTTCCATGTCTCAAATATCCTGGTGTATCTTAGAGATAAGTTCATTATTTCTCTTTGTCTAGTAGGCTCAGGAAATTCAGCCTTTTTAAACCATGGGGGCAGAGTGAGCTGGTCATTCACTGTGGTTGCTTCTCATCCGCTGTAGTTTTATTCTTCATATATTCTTTATTACTGAAAAGAGAAATAAGAAGCAAAATAGTTGCATGTGTTTTCTTTCTTAAAAAGCTTTAAATGAATCAGCCTGAATCAGAGGTTGAGCACAGTTCAGCAGCATTCTCCACCTTGCCTCCAAGTCAAAGTTGGCATCTGGTCTCTGCTCTTGTACAATGGCCAACCCCATAGCTTCTGCAAATTTCCCAGCTCATTTTTAACACATGAAATCCAAACATTTGCTGCTGAAAACCACTAAACATGAGCCTATCAGAGAAGAATCAACACCGCTCCCAGCTTGGCAGTTCCCAGCACCTTTTACTAGGTTTACTATGTTACTACCAACCAAGGCTTTTGTTACCTGGAGTGTGTCTGGGAATAAGGGCAGTCTTACTGCAGCCACCTATGAAAGTCTGCTTAGCTTCCTCAGGATGCCTTTCCCTGGATATGAAGTTACTGCTATCTACCAAGTTTCAGGCACAACCAAAGTTCGAATCAAAGTCACAGGAATCATATTCCATCACTAAAAAATTACTTAATGAGTTAGAGTTTTCTACAGTATATCCTCCAGAAATAGTTGTTACACAAAACAAAGGGTCGATCGCTTCTTGGTATCTTTATCAAGTCAGAGGGGAATCAGCAGCGCTGTTCTTTACTAACACACACTTCACCATCATGATTCAAACTGAGGATAAACTGACTCCTGAGCAAATTTTACAGTAAAGTCAAATGCACCTACAGCTACTTTCCAGCTTGGAGGACGCAGAAACAAAAATCAGGTATCAGAAATGACCTCACTCTAAAAATATATATGTATATATATATATACACATATATATATATAAGGAAGGCACAAGTCCCCATTACTAAACTGATTTTTTAGGTCACCTTTAAACTGTATTTTCATATATAAGCGTTTAACTAACCTTCAAACAACTCAACAACAATCTAATCTTGACTATGAACAAGTGTGTTCCTAAGCCATTTTGAATGCTCATCTTAAAAAAATGAAACCAGTAGATTTAAATCAACATTTTGGTTATGACTTCTAGCTCTACACCTTGAACCCTGAAGAACTATATTAAACTGCTGCTGCATGGTGCACTGCTGGCACGAGCAGTTAGGGACTCACAGCCACCAATGGTCAGTTGGCAAAGCACACATTTCTCCAAAGCTGTTCACTTGCTCTAGATAGCTGCATTATTCTGATAGCCTGTGTACACGTAAAAGTGCCACAGTAATACAGTGCCACAGTAAAAGTAATACATCCTTAAAGGAAGCAGAACACTTAACAGCTAAAATAGATTTGCTGGACAAATCAGTAAAATTAAAGTGATATTTTAAGAATGGAATGAGGCTAACGAGGATAACAAGAGTGTATATATATTTTTAAAAGAATCAAAGTAGTAAAGAAAGGTTGTAAAATGCTAGTATTATACATGTATATAAGTACTAGTGGAAAGGTATATATAAAATTAATTTCCTCATACAATGCATTAAAAGCTAGGCATACCAAAGCCTATAGTTTAGTGACAATATTATGTGCTGTCTTTTTAACACGTCGCTAAGTCAGCTGATGTAATAATTGTAATCTGAAATGACATTTTAGTCTAATGCAGCACATAACTGCAGTGTCTGATTTTGCTGCACAGGCGAATGCCATGCTGCTCATATTTTGTTTCCTAAAACTTCAAAATAAACAATTCTCTATGCCAAACTACATTTAAGCATTGGGAATTGTTTCGCCTTATGCCATGCTTTCATATCTATGGCAGAATTAGACTTTTTTTTCCCCTCATCTCTTTTTTAAGATCCTAGGAAGAAGGATGGATACAGGGATAAAACGGTTAACAGAGAAAAGACATGGTTACATCAGTAACGTGAGTTACTGTGACAGGAAGCTCTTTCATAAAACTACCAGGTTTCCTCCTAAGTCTTACTGAGTGTTTTCAGCTTTAACTAAGCAGAAGCAGAATTCTGCTTTGAGGAAAGAGCATTTTACCTAATTCAATGTGTGCACATAGCTGTGATGGACATTTTAGGGATTTAAGATTTGGTTGTCTAACAGACTTTAAAATCTATTTATTTTTCATATTTTTCATACCTGTTTCTTAACAGGTAACTTATGGACCAAATTGATAGTCTACTATCAATATATCTACAGCAATTTTAAGATATGGTTAGTCTCCAATTATGTTTTAAAACCTCAAAATGTTATAATAAAATTGGCCTTTAGACATAAAACCACAATGAGTAATTCTGCCTGCAACTGTGTTATCTACACAATTCATCTGACACAAATCACAGTTACACTAACCAGACACTGAATAAGTGGGGTTTGCTGTTTCACTACAGTTATTCCTGTGTTTTTGTTTTGTCAAAGCCATTATCAATCCTTTGACACCAAATTTTCAGTGGTAGGGATTTCTTAGAGATTTCTCTAGCCTGGAGAAGACAAGATTGAGAGGGGTTCTTATCACTAGGTACAAATACACAAGGGGCACATGTAAAGAGGATGGGGCCAATCTCTGCTCAGTGGTGACCAGCAACAGAACAAGGAATAATGGGTATAAATTAAAATTCGATCTCCATGTGAGGAAGAACTTCTTTCCTGTGACGGTGACAGAGCCCTGGAACAGGCTGCCCAGAGAGGCTGTGGAGTCTCCTTCTCTGGAGATCTTCCAAACCCCCCTGGATGCCACCCTGTGCCATGGGCTCTGGGTGTCCCTGCTGGAGCAGGGGGTTGGACTAGATGACCTCTAGAGGTCCCTTCTAACCTCAGCCATTCTGTGATTCTAAATTGATAAACACATTGTGTATCTTTCCTCCAACAAAAAGAGGGCAATGCTGTTTCCACATAACTATTTCTGTACCACCAATCTTCCATTATAATCAATATACAGAAGGACCCTTCAAGCAAAAGAGCTTTTCACAGAAAAGCTGTAGGTAAGGAGATAGACAAAGTCCTGTATTTGCTATCAGCTGATTTAACCTGCATAGCATCACCACAGAGCAAACTTTTGAGTTTGTCACTGTGCTATTTACACAGGCATGCTCTGCACTTATGCATAGGAAATCAATCTTACTCTGAACCAATCCGCCTAATGCTTAAACCTCACTACTCTGATTTTACTGACAGTGTAGTTTGTCACAATAATATGACAGCTGCCTTCCTATCAATAACTTATTTCAAGAGTAGGCAGACAAAACAGTCCATAATTGTACTTGCTGTTCCTTCAGAGATAGAAAGCTCAAAAAAAGCTGAAACTTTGTTGTGGAACAGAAGGAACACAGGAACTTCAAGTCATTCTTACTTTCCACATGCAATGACTACTTTTAGGACTCAGTTTTCCTGTTACTCATTTATCACCATGTATTATGATGATACCTTCTGCCTATCTTAAATCACATCTTTATGTTCTCAAACATCTGTTTTACATTTTCATAAATGAAAGAAACCTTTAATGTTTGAGTTCTCTAGAGAGTAACTTTCAAATTTGAAATTATTTTATACATCTGCATCTGTCCTTTTGCAATTTTAACTTAAATAGTTATAATTAATTGCAACTAAAGTATTTAGTATTCACTTATCACTATATTTCTTAACATTGCTAGAATATTTGGAAATAATTTTGATTGCCTTATACTTACTGCTTTGTGTAGAACATAAGTATGTTTTGTTAATGAACAAGACTTCTTAATCTGATTTAAAACATTTAACATAAAATTAGTCAATGGTATTTTGAAGTAAACTTGGATCTGATGAAGCTCCTAACAATACTGTTTAGAGGACTGGATGCAGAAAATGCTGTTTTGCTGAACTCCCACTTTGCTCAAAACAGTCTTTAAGCTGGAAAATCTAGTAAATTCTGACATAAGTGTCATGTGAACAGCACTTCCTAACATATCATCTTCAAAATTATTATTATTACTTGGAAGAATTTAATTTTTACAGTCTGTCCCCCCACTTTACTAGACTCTCTGAATTTGTACATAATACCATTCAGCTAAAGGCCATTTAAAAGTTGTTTTCAAACAGTAAGTTAAGATAAGGTCATTTTATTACTATCTTTTATTCATTCATGAGATGAAAAGCACATAGTTCATATTTTACTATGGGATAAGAGCTATCGAAGAACTTCAGCATATCAGAGGCAAAGACAGCAAAGGATCAGTGAACTGATTGAAAGCAAGTTAAGGCACTATACTATTCATTATAATATCTATCAGATAAGACTGCAGCAGCTTGTCTTGCAGTAGAAACACAGATAAGGATTATGAACTATGAGCTTAAGGGAGAACTTGGGAAAGACATGTAAGGCTATATTTTTTCCCTGATGCTCTTAAAAGGTCAAAATGTGTCTGATAACATTTTCAACCAAGGCTGAACCAGCTAATGTAATCACACTTGCATTTGCTTTACTTTTGAGACAGATGTATTAAAAGTCTCTTGATGTAGTTAAGGATGGCACAGGACAGCATGGGGGGCAGGAGCCATAAGTCAGGGATAGGTCATTTCTCAAGTAGTTTTGCCACCTAAGTAACAACTGCTTAGCCACAACACCCAGTTTCCTTGCAGAGAAAATGGCCCATGCAGGTATGTGCCAGTACTTTGTCCCTATGTCTGCATGTTGGGTTTGGGCTTATTGGGGTGGAGGGTAAGAGCGCTGCCAGGACAAAAGACAAGGTATAATTTCTCCTTTTGAGACCTATTTGTTCTTCCACATCTTTGATCCGGGTGGTTACATCCCTCTAAAGCAGCGTTGTATTCGTTTTTCCACTGATAGAGAACTCTCTGGAATATACACCTACCAGAGTCTCTCGGATACAATAACAAACGTGTTAAAAGCCACAAACTAGCTAAAGGGTCACATTGCACTGAGCCCGAAATGGACAGGACCTCAAGAGGGTACCTCACAGTGCTGAGCAGTAATAATGGTAACCACATTTTTACTTAAACCAAAAATTGTCAAGAAGTTGTGTCTGTGTAGACTGGTAGGCCCAAAGATAAGATGCATACCGATACCATTTCAGGCTTTACAGACTATTCACATCAACATCTTGGTAGCAACGAGCCACACAACGAATACAAGTCCGACAGGAGCAGGTTGGTTCAAGGGGCTACATGAGGTCACAGTTAATTAAATTAATTTCATACCTAATTGGTCACTGCTGCTTGCTACGGTGTTATTTCCATGGAGGCTTTTTTTTCCCTAGCTGGGTTGAGCAATTAAATTAGTAGCTACTAAGTGGGTACTGCATATATTCAAACATTGCTGGCTTAACAACCTACAGAAAGAATAGCACGGAGACAAAACAAAATTGTGATATATCCTGGAACTCATTAAACAAAATCAGGAAGCTTACAGGTCAGGAAAACAAAGAATACTATAGACCTTATCTAAAAAGAAAGCAATCATACATTTACAAAACATCCATTAGAAACATAATAAACAGACTTTCCTTTTTCCCTCTTCTCTCCAGGGTAATTCCAAAAAAACATTGACATTTCTTTAAGAATACAAGAGGTAATAGGATAACCAGGCTTTTTAAATTTCTGCTCAAGGAAAACAAATGTCAGAAAAACAAACAAACAAACAAACAAAAAAACCCCAAAAAAGCTTAACGTGGCTTCCTCCTATTTTTATACCATGATTTTTCAGAAGGGTCCCAAACTGCATACTTGCACTACTGCAAACTGAACTGCATACAAATGCAACTGCATTTGGGTGCCTAATGCTTTTACATATGTGGAACAAGACCTGTATACTTCAGAGGAATACTAAAACACCACCACAGATGATACAAACACAACCAACGATGTGGGCTTGATCTTATCTTTCAGCTCTCAGATAACCTGATTAGTAGGACAAAAACAACAAAGGAAAGGTGGATTTTTAATCATATTCTTCACACTACAAGATAATATACAACTGGTAGATATTAATATGCTCCAAATTCAGCTGTACTTAACATTAATCAATGGCTTCAAAAAGATTAATGTAAACACTAGACTTTCCTCTCTGAGAAAATTTACTTTCTCTGTTGTGTAACCTTCAATACAAAGAGGAAAAAAATGTGCTTGTTTTAACTCTCTCCTATATGCATGATAAATAAATAATAGGGAAAAAAAAAGCTACTGTCAAGGAAGAACTGAAATTAGTGCTGGCATGCTTCCAAAGCATAGTAGTTAACAATCACTTAGACCCTTGTAGGATGCGGTTTGGTGAGGTACTTAGGCATGACATTTAAGTAATACCTAAATAAACTTTTGATTCTTGAAATTCTGCAAGCACTTAAGCTTCTTGCTGAGCCTGGATCAAAGACACTGCTGGGGGAAAAAAAAAAGCCCACAAAACTTAGATCAGTTTGAAAACTTACTAAATAGACATCCAAAACTGAAGCGTTATCATTCTCCATTTCCAGCGTGCTCTGCTCTGAGGTCAGGTAGATGGCACTGTCTTCTAGAGTGAACGTAGAGCTTGAGGGCAGCCCTTTACTGGAAACAGAATGGAGAACACAGTCAACAAAAAATACCAGCGGCAACAAATTCAAAAATTTATGTATTTTAGAACTCATCTATGGTTCTCTCAAATGCTTTAAATACTAGGTAAAAGGAGGGAAAAGGAAATGGGAAACTATAAAATACATAAAATTGTTGACAATTCACGGCTAGATAATGGGGGCTCATTACACTAGCAAGCACAAACTGCAGTGTCTACTGATTTATTTGCATTAACTAAAATTCACATCAAGGAGGAATACTATTTCCAAACTCCATTGCTCATTGGAAGATCAAAACTACACTACAGTAAACACAGAATAATTTCATTAATTTTCGAAGAAGATAGTTCCGCATTATGGTGGCATAAATTTTGGTGGCATTTTAAAATGTAAAATAGATTAAAAAAAAAAAAAGGCAGCAGTATTCAAACACAATAGCACTGGACTTTCTTATGCCTAGAGGGGATTACTTGCAGCCAAATCTTCAGAAGGAAAGAGTCCAGAGAGGTGTAAGGAGAAAAGTAATTAGTGCAGCTGTGCAAAGAAGGAACACTTGCAAAACACTGCAAAAAAAATGTATTATTTCAATTGTTAACGTGATTTTCACTATTACAGAGAAAGCATCTGCAGATGGACAGGAACTGAAAATGCAACTGCACAGACTTTTTTTTTTCTTTTTTTTCTTTTCTTCTTTTTTAAATTTTTTTTTTGCAAACATGCTTGAAACCTCAAAACTGAAACTCTCAGCTTTACAGGAAGGTAAAGGTGCCCAGTGTGGCAGTTATCTTCATTAGTTACCAGAAACAGACTTCCGGTTGCCTTGAAAATCCAACAGTCAGTTTTGCTAAGCCTTTTATTTATTTTTTTTAAAGTGTTCTTCCTATTTACACGCAAGGCTAAAAGCAAACAATTCTGCATCATAACAGAATACGAAAACATGGTCACAGCCACAAGAGAGTTAATTCCCTCCTCCCTCCGCCCTTTGGAAGGCTTCATGGCTTAGCTGTATTTCAGATTGGGGATAGTTTCAAATAGACATCAAATTAAAGTGCTTAACAAAACAATGAGTTCTGGGTGCATTTGGGGAAGCTAATATAAAGGAGAAAGCATAAAGGAGAAACTGGAAGCTCTGAGTCACTGTCACGTTGTGGCTGAAGCCTGCATTGGTGTCAGAGCGAAGGCAACTGCTTTTGCCAGGAGCCGGGCCCTGCCGCGCGTTAAGCTGCAGCGTACTGCTTATGTGCAATACTGTAATATTACAGCTTAGACACACCACCAGCGTGCAGCAAGTGTACACAGAGATATCCTCCAAGCCAAAAGAAAAAATACAGCCTATGGTCAGACAGGGATCACTTTCATGTCAAAATACCACAGCCATCTTGTTTACTGAAATAGCTTGTAACGACATCACTCAGTTGGTTACGTGACTACGAAACACATGAAGGTAGAATTAGGAAGAAAACCAAACAAACGAAAAAAAGTGTCACTTTCCCCCCTTTTCATAGGAAAATGGGAAGTCTTGTTAAAAGTCTCACCCTTAGTGTGAATGCATATCCTATTTTGAGAAGCACTATATTTACTGTCCTTATGCTGAAGTGAGGAGAAAAGCCATTCTCCAACCCCTCCTAAATCACACATTCCAACACATTTAGTTAGAAAACAGGTTCAAGATTTTTCTCTTGAGTAGAAAATAAAATCTTCCTTTCCCAAGGTCCTTGCAAAATGCTCTGATGGACCCTAAGAGAAAGAACCTCATTTGAAGACAAGACAAGAAGAAATTGCCAAGACAAGAAAAAATTACTCCCTGTGGGAGACTACAAACTCCACAGCACTCAGTTACTTCTAGGCCTTAAAAATGGTTTAAGAAATGGAAATTACCCTTGATAGTGATAGTTATTTCTATTCATGGGCAAAGCACTCTACCAAGATAAATGAACATCACTGTAGGTCTTTACAGACTAGGAATCCAAGTCGTAAAATCAGTGAAGTCTGGAAGAGAAAAAAAATGTTTTCTCGCTATGCCATGGGACTACCTACCTATGTAGCACTATAGAAAAGGAAAAATGCAAAAACAGGAGTGAAATTTCTTGTTATTCACCAGATTTTTTTATCAAGAACTTTACACAGTACATCTATATAGACACTATGTAGACATGGTGATGATGGGTGTATGAGTGAACTCGATGATCTTGAAGGTCTTTTCCAACCATAATGATTCTATGATTCTACTGCCAGGCTTCCTTGTTTGGCTGAGATTACTGCACCTGCTTTTAATTCTCACTTGCCATAATATTTAATATTGAACATAAATACCTATACAAAAGGCTATGTAAAATAATCTATTATAAATAGATTCACATGCTTAAATAGTTCAGCAGAGCAGCATTATAACCACATGGTCTAATTAAAATAAATCTTATAACAAATCAACATTTTTTTCAAGAGTGATACATTATTAATTATCTTCTAATGAAATCTTACTGACTAAAGGATTAAGTGCAAGTGGTTGAGAACACTTTACATGGAGAAAGAAGTGGATTTCTTTTTCAGGATATATAAATGCCTCATCAACCCCTTGGTACCAGCAAGAAGGCCTGCTTCTTCACAATTTAAACTGAGCTTGGAGATTACTCAATACTCCTCTATTTTTGAAAGTAACTCATCATACAATCCAGATGTTATTTGCCAGCTATTGGGCAAAACACACTTCAGATTAATCTTTCTTGAGACTATAAACTTTGCAAGATAGAGTTGATCTTACTTGGTATTTGCCTGAGGCATGAAAATTCCACTGGAAATTTAGACATAGAAAAAGCATGAGACATCATCAGTAATATTTGCTTTATACTTCACTTTTGAAGCCAGAGACTGAAATTTTGATTTTGACCTATGTCTACAGCAAGTATTTAAATATGTGACACATTTTCTCTTTGGCTTCCACAAATGCTTCCTAAGACTACTAATATAAACCTGAGTGCTAGCTTTCAATTTCACTGTAAAGGGAAGAATTCTGTTAATTTAGCTAGCTTTATTCTTCTGATGACAGATAGATCCTTCTAACGTAGTCAAGCAATTAACAAACAAGATCAAATTAAATTTATATTAATCTTTTGTCCAGTTTTTTTTAATCTTTATTCAGGACTGTGGGTAGCAGTGTTCAGTTCTTTAAAGCAGTGGTTTCAAATTCACTCCTCTGCTAAGCTGACTGCTCTGCTAACATTATTGCAGTATTGTTGTGCTGGAACACGCTGGATAAACAGGTAAGTTTTTACTTGACTAAGTCTAATGGAAACTTTTAGACATTGTGCCTCAGTATGTAGATCTTTGTAACTAAGTACTGTAACTTTAATCCTACATTTGGAAAGAAAACAGAACATTGCAAGTCTTTAAAGCATACAAAGCTCTGCAGGTAAGAAAGAATGTAACCTCGACCATCACATTAATGATGCTGACAAACTACAGCTTTTTCTTGGCAAAATTAATAACTTACAGAGCACCAAAGGAGAGAAAAACAAACAAATAAACAAAAAGCAACAACAAAAAACACACTTGCTCCAACACATATTGGCTGTCAAGCAGCTGGTAAGTGGAAGTTCAAATTCCTGCAGCAGAATCTTCACAGCTGCATTGCTAATCATTCAGTTTTAATGCAGACTTTTGTTAGCATGTTAGAAGACAAACTGGCTGGGGAGACAACAGGAGAGAATGATAGAATATATATATATAAAAGTCATTCCATGAGAGCAAAACTAAGAAAACTTGGTTCTCTTTGAGACCTTCATTACATAACCCTTCCATCATAGTCAAATTTATTTATTTCCCCTGGGGATTCCTCAGTGTCCTGGTCCACCCATCTCTACCATCAGAGCATTTATTTATTCTTTTCCCTTTACTTGGTTGCTTATTTTCATGAGGCCTGCATTAACTTAATTCTCTCTGAATTAAATTCAACCAAATCTGTCCAACAGTTTTAGAAGCTGAAGAGGGATGGGTGGACAGCATATTTAAACACATACAAATCTACTTACCAACTAAACTAGACTGACAGAAGGTACAGTTAGACATTTTAAAGCATCAAAACTTCAGGAAGTTTTGATTGTGTAAGAATGAAAGAAAAAACAAACAAACAAAATCCCCCAAGCCTTCCAGAATTTCTAGTGATTTGCACTGAAAAACAGCAATGAAGAGGGAAGGAAATAAAACAATTGAACAATTGAAAAATACATAGAAAAGCAAGGGGAAAAAAAAGGAACAGGGCAATTCTATAGATAAATTATTCCAAAAAGTGTATGAAATATGGTAAATGAACAAGAATTAGATTTTATACAGATCATTTTCCTGCACTTAAACACAGCAGAATAACTTGTCATGTTATCCTCCCACTGCATCACAGGTTTCTCAGCTCTACAGGCAAGGGTGCAAAGAACTCCCTAACCCACCACACGATGTTATTTGCATTTGTGACTGGAACCTATGAGGCACTCCTGAAAGATATTTTGCAAGGAAACTTTCCGTTGTATCCTCAAACTCCTGTATAAAACATTCTAGGAAGCATGTTTGAAGACAACAACTTTTCTCATCCCCTCACAATTGCAAAGCACTGTTGACTGACATGCCATTCATACATTGTGACCTTCCAATTTGTCATTTTTAATATAATTCATCAGTATTCATTATGAAACCCTTACCATGGGGAAAACACCTATAATTTCTGCTACAACAATATTGTCTGATGCCACATACTAACTGTTGCATTACTAGGTTAAAAAGATCTCAAAGAATTGCGCTTGGATCCAAAATGGAACATACACTCTAGCATAAAAAGGACCTTTTGAGTAATAAAGTAGCCCTTTGCCAAATGTAACCTGACTTGAGGAGGAACAGAAAGGACAGATCCACCTAACTATGAAACAGCTTTATAAAACTGAGAAGTCAGTTGTCATTCAACAGAGAAGAAATCCCAAATAAAATACATTGCATGATGTTTGTCTGCAT